GTCCACTGCCAATGTTATTAAGACAAGCCACTGTGCCACTGTCAATATTATGAAAATAAGTCTTTGTGTGGACGATGGCTACATATAGGTAAGTCTTCTTTTTCTCTTTCCCCCTCTCCCTTCCCTGTGTTTATGTGTTTAATTCGGTTGTTTTTTTCTTCTTTTTTAGATATCTCTATACATTAACATGATCACATTAATTAGCGATAACTTCAGTCAACAAAAGTACTCAAAATAGAACAATTTTGATATGTTGCTACGTCTTATTACAATCTAGTCATGTCACGGAAAAAAGCTCGAACTGTATGGCTTATGAAATCCATGTTACATTATACATAATTGCATCCACTAATACTGTTGCATTAATATTTACAGATATCAGACGTATACAATAATATGCCTTCCATTTGCTTGCGCCTCACAATATTGGTGGATAAATTATGTTGAATAATATCATCTTATGTCAATGAATATTCGAAAATGAAACAATTCAATTCAGCTACCAATTACTTGACCATAAACTGACACGACCACTTCAACGAAATCGCACGTACAAAGTAAAGTTAACACGTCTACAGTTGTGTCATCGTTATGTATTCTGAAAATTCTACGTGGAAGACATGAAAAGTAAGAAGTAAGAAAGATGCACAGTACTTGAAGATACGACTTGGATATTTGTTGTACGTTACATTGCACCTGGCTCTGACACCAGAACATTTTAAAGCGAAAAGCTACTCAACGAAGTCGCACGTACCAGTACGAAGAAAAGGTAACGCGGCAAGGAAGACTTGATAGTTAAGAAAGATGCACAGTACTTAAAGCAGTACTTTGCTGTACGGTACATTGCACCTGTTCGAATACTCATAATCAAGCCAACAACGTGCGTGAGTACAGTACCTGTTATACGAACAATGGACTTGATATGCATCATAATCAACATCTTCAAACTTACACTGGGTAGAACATATACTGTAATACGCAATAAGACGTGTTCTATTGTCATAGAAAAGTGACTGGTATTTTAGTTTTCACTAGTTGAATGTTCGTAATTTATAATTCATGTTGTCATTGACCATTTTTGGCAAACTTTGGAAATTGTGGAATGGATTGTGACTAAATCACTGACTTGTGGACTTATTTTATATATTGAAAAATTGACTGTAACCCATACTCTAATTTCAATTTTGTATACATACAGTAGCCATCGTCCAAAATAAATCTTATTTAGTATTGTACTATATTTGTTGATTATCATTTAGATTAGTTATGAGCGCGCGCATCAAGATTTTATTGGCATGCAACATGTACGCACTGCGTACCTATTTTTACATGAAGTAATGCATGGCGTCAACGCTTACCTGAAAGACCATGGTCATGAGACAAAGCAAATGTTCCTGCCCTTCTGCACCTGGGACAAGTTCGGCGATATACTTGCCAATTCTGGTGGACGATCTATTGGTATATACGACGAAGTTGTGTCATTTTTTCGCAAGCATGAAAATGTATTCTTCAGCAAAACTACAAGTCTCTGATACGAAGGAATATCAGGACTTTCTTCAGATGTATACGGGAAAACTAAAATGAGAGAAACTGGTAATGTATACGTATATAGTAATTTATACCTGATTTTTATACACCTATTTTTACTAATAAGGGCGAGGACATGCTGGTCCAATCTCGAAACCAAAGGTGACCTGCAATCCTCTGTGGAGGCTTGCTGAGGGACTGGGAAAAACCAGGGAAATTCGGGCTCTGATTGGTTGTTTTCAAGTAGTGATTCAAACATCGTTTAATTACTAGTATAAAGTTTATTTCTGTTTGTGTATTATGTTTAAGAAATTAATGAAACACACAGCATAACTACTTATTAAGCTTCCTTCGCTTCTCATATGAAATGGATAGACTATTCTGATACTTTTATGCCAATATAAACAACAGTGCAGCATTACCGTTGTCGGTAATATTTAAAATAACACAACAATCTGTGATTTACCATTATTAACTCTTTTTCGTTTGGTGCTGAAATAACCAGGTCGAAACTGACCTGGTATTTTGCAGGTTCATATTTTCGGTTCAGTGCATGCTATATAGATGAAAATAACACCATTCGATTCAGTGAAAAAATTCCTATCGATAGATATAATAAAATGTCAACATTATAGCGATTTACGACCTTTAGAGGGCGAGCGGTGTCATATTTCACTAGATTACACAATATTCCCGAAAAATGTAAGAATGTAATAAAATGTATCACAAAAGCATACCTTTCGCCGAACATAACTTCGGCCCCTTTCAAGATATCTTTTTCATAATAGTCTTGTTCGAATCACAATCCAAAACACTATTTAGAGTGTTATTTTCAAGCTTGTATCAACAGATTTGCATCTTTTATTTCGGAATTTCAAAATATCTAAATTTTACGCGAGAGCTTCGACGGCGGTTCGACCGGAAATACACTTTAGATCTGGCAAAACATTGCGTTATTTAAATCCTATCACTCGGGAAACGTCGGAAATCGATTCTAAAGGTCAAATTACACCTGCAGCGTGATTTGCACGGGCATCGGGCTACGGGTGCTCCTTATTGGCCAATTTTAGCGTGTGGCGGGCGCGTGCGAGTAAAAACCCGATATTTTGAAAAAATCAAAATAAATATATTTCTACTTGCCGTATTCAAACGAAATTTTCCACACGAAAGCAGTTGAATACAAGGAGTATTTCACTCAGATTGACTTGTGGGGAATTCCGAGGAGTTCAAGAGATATTCAAGATTTTCTGGATATGAAATACAGAATATTTGGCAAAGCGGTGAGTAAAATACACAATTGTTTTGGTTTGTGTAATGTTATAACGGCATTTGACCCCCCTTCGAAAGGTTATTTTATGAGGATTTCAACGGTGGTTTCCGTTTTAAAGGGGGGTAAATACTTTTTGAGATATTTACATCGGAAGCATTTGAATGAAAAATATGAAATTTATCGCCGGACGATAAAGAGTTAAACAAGTTAAAATAAATCACTACCAGTATCTTACAACAACTCAAAACCACGGCAAGTGTTCTTTTGAGAATTAAAGTCTTAATAAGCTTGAACAACGGCATAATTCATGTTTGACGGCAGTGATGTCTGTTCATAAGTGTCGAGTGCAGTACTGGATGCAAATGTACTGAGTTTCGTGCAAAACCATTCTCGTACCCACAGCCCTTCTTACACGCGTTCGACCGAGCACGACGAGGGGCTCTGGCCAAATCCATAAGTGCATACCATAAAAACATGGTGAGAAAACAATATCCGCTATTACAACTACCCAATCACATGCCAGCACGCCCGAGCTTGGACCTGGGGACAAGGACGTGTCCTGTACAGTTGCCAGATCTACATGTTATACATAAAAGCTGTAAAGGCCACTTTCACAGAGAGACAGACAGATATTTTAAAGCATTACAGAGCACCCATTAAATTATACAATATTTTCCCTCAAAACATTATAATACATTATATTATCCACATTATCGTAAACCAAATACAAAATAATACTAACACAAACTCAACATTTTCATCTAGTTACTGGCAACGCTAATTTCCATATGGATCAAATTTCATTTACGCTACTTGGTTTCACCCAACCACAAACTGCCAGGCCAATTATCGAAGATACGCTAAACAATGCGAAAGGTTTCACTTCGAGGCTCTTATGGTACTTCCCTACTCCGATTTTCTGCAAAATGCAGGATACAATGCTAAGTGAAGAGGAGAAATTAACAACTTCACGTTTTAAGGATGAGCTAGGTAAGTAAAATAAGTGCTCTTCTCTTACACAAGAAGTGTTGCACATACTAGAAACCATAGCTTGTCCTCAGTTATCTGTCCTAACCATGTACTCTCACTTACGTCAACAATTACTGTAACTTAAATTTCATTTGAACTATAATATAGTTCCATAGTTGTTGCTCGTTCGATGTCCAAATTGCGTTGCTTCCTCAATTTGCAGGCACAGTCGTCGAAAAAAACACGGGCACTGATGTGCAGTTAACCATTAAATATTGCATTCAACCCAATAAAGTTGCACCAGATACACTATACAACACTACACAGTTGAGAACATTGAACTCCCAACCACTCTATGTTTTGAAGCGCATACGAAACCAATTTGCCTATGAATCCGAAACAATTTGCTGACTCTAGCAGACATTTGCTGAGTTTGTGATGAATGGGGGGGGGGGGCATGTACCTATGCCCCTGACTAAATACCAAGCAGACATACAGAAATTCATGCATCTACTTATTAAATCTTTCAATTATTTACTACCTTCAACAGTTAAATTCCTCACTGACTTGTACATGAAAGGGGAATCAACTTATGTGATTAAGCAGAATAACAAAAAGACGGATGTGACAGTAAACAGGGTCCAGTACCAACTATCGCAAGAAGTGTTGGAAGCATTTGAGGCGATCCATGATGATTGGGAACTAAACATTTGTCAAAAATATCTGTACAATCCATTGATCGGAGGTAAAGCACACTACATTTCCCTTTACCACTTCATTTGCATGCTATACTGCAAATTAAACCATGTGGTGCTTTATGGACAGGCCATTTATGCTCTTTCCAATCGACACCAACTTTTTACAATATTCAGTTAGAAGCATCACACTACCAAATAATGCCGTATACAATAATTCCAATCATTACATTTTGTTCTTATCTTTCAAGGACTTTACTCTAGAGGAAAGTCGCACTTGTTGCGCTTATCCCTTCCTATCCAGCTGTTCTGTCCATTTTACGACAGTTTTCAGGAAAGAGGCGAAGGCAACGAAGGTGATAACCATTGTACCAGAGACAACAACAAGGACGATAATTCAAAAGAAGACAGCGAAGGAGGTACGGATTCCTGCGGGGACAACGGCAACTCATCCAGCAATGAAAGCGATGGCGAAGATCCAATTGCAATAGACGAACATAACACAAATGGTGGAGATGAACCAATAGACGAGCTTATGGTGGAAAGAGAGAGAAGAGAGATTAACGCCCCATCCATCGCCATGGCTGCCTCTATTTTTAAATGTTGCCTAACGCAATTATGTAAGTCAATAATTCCTTCACAACTAATAATTTTCAGTTATTCACGAAGACCATTATATCATATTTACTGTCTAAAACAACCACGTAATAAACACACAATAAAAATACTGTCAGCAGTTGTGTACAATTTAGCAACATACTTGCCACTAACCAAATTGAAATACTTGTACAACTTTTCAAAAAACTAAAAGGAAAGGAAAGCAAAAACAGACATGAAACACAAGATATATATAAATAAGTTCCCAAACTTTCAACGACAGTGCAGTGTTGTAAAAGCAATAAAAATCAAGTATATAATGTAAGAGTAAAAGGACAAAAATACAAAGTTCCCACCACGTCTCATACGATCTTTTCTAATTGTTTGCCCAAAATATACTCTCTATGGTCAATCCGAGTCCGATACAATATGTTGTAATGCTGTTTCGAAAATTACATGCATTGTATCATTTTATCAGTTCCAATTCTGTTCAATTACGTTTCTTATACTCTCGTTTTCATACAGGTATATTGACGAACAAAGAATTGATCCCCAATTCTGAACCATGTGATGACATCACCCTCCCAAACACATTACCACATACAACCCACCAATCAGAAATGAATAAACTCATTCGCCAAGTTCTGTTAATAGCTGGAAAAACAATAAGCTTCTCTCTCCTAACGCAAAAGGGCACCTTCAGAAAAACCATACACGGACACTCAGGAAAAAACCTCGTACAACACTTGGCCATTAACATTCTGCCAAGAGTTCCAATAGGCCAGGTCCAGGCTATCACAATACCAGGGAACAAAACAAAGGTTATTATTACAACATGTATACACCCTTTTCATAAATGGCTACCGATTAAAAGTTCTTTTATGTGCATATAAATTGGCCCAACTAGCCTCGTACTCATGTTAAGATTTCAAAGGAATTTCTACCCAGAAACCAGGCTAGTTGTCCCAATTTATATGCATATAAAAAAATTTTAATCGGCAGCCATTTATGAAAACGGTTTATAGTCTACATACCTTATCCAAAAAGTGTCAGCGGCACTTAAAACAGCGTAACAGTAATTATACGCAGCTCCGCATCAATACCACTGCGGCCTATGTATTAATAATAAATTGCCTAATTGGGACATTCCTTAAAATTCACCTTCACATACTTAATAAAAATGTTGTGTTTTTAGTCTTACAATTCACATACATGTTATGGTATTGACTCTTCAACACCGTTCCAAATAATACATCTACTCGTTTTAACAAATTTAAATCATCTACTCGTTTTAACAAATTAACAGGTGTATTTCTTTGTGAAAGAGGACTCGCCAGAGGATCATAGAAGTGAGGCAAGCACTGATCTAATTCGTCACCTGGCGAAGATAGGCATTGATATCAATGAATATACCGACGCCTTCAACACCAACAACAGCGAAAGGTTAGCATAACATCCCAAAAAAATAATATGCCTTAAATATATTATTAAAAGTATATAATTTATTACTTGTTTTTATTTTTGAAGGATATATACAAGGTTAATTTTATTAATTTTGTTACGTTTCGGACATTTTAAATGTTCATAAGTGTCGAGTGCAGTACTGGATGCAAATGTACTGAGTTTCGAGCAAAACCATTCTCGTACCCACAGCCCTTCTTACACGCGTTCGACCGAGCACGACGAGGGGCTCTGGCCAAATCCATAAGTGCATACCATAAAAACATGGTGAGAAAACAATATCTGCTATTACAACTACCCAATCACATGCCAGCACGCCCGAGCTTGGGCCTGGGGACAAGGACGTGTCCTGTACAGTTGCCAGATCTACATGTTATACATAAAAGCTGTAAAGGCCACTTTCACAGAGAGACAGACAGATATTTTAAAGCATTATAGAGCACCCATTAAATTATACAATATTTTCCCTCAAAACATTATAATACATTATATTATCCACATTATCGTAAACCAAATACAAAATAATACTAACACAAACTCAACATTTTCATCTAGTTACTGGCAACGCTAATTTCCATATGGATCAAATTTCATTTACGCTACTTGGTTTCACCCAACCACAAACCGCCAGGCCAATTATCGAAGATACGCTAAACAATGCGAAAGGTTTCACTTCGAGGCTCTTATGGTACTTCCCTACTCCGATTTTCTGCAAAATGCAGGATACAATGCTAAGTGAAGAGGAGAAATTAACAACTTCACGTTTTAAGGATGAGCTAGGTAAGTAAAATAAGTGCTCTTCTCTTACACAAGAAGTGTTGCACATACTAGAAACCATAGCTTGTCCTCAGTTATCTGTCCTAACCATGCACTCTCACTTACGTCAACAATTACTGTAACTTAAATTTCATTTGAACTATAATATAGTTCCATAGTTGTTGCTCGTTCGATGTCCAAATTGCGTTGCTTCCTCAATTTGCAGGCACAGTCGTCGAAAAAAACATGGGCACTGATGTGCAGTTAACCATTAAATATTGCATTCAACCCAATAAAGTTGCACCAGATACACTATACAACACTACACAGTTGAGAACATTGAACTCCCAACCACTCTATGTTTTGAAGCGCATACGAAACCAATTTGCCTATGAATCCGAAACAATTTGCTGACTCTAGCAGACATTTGCTGAGTTTGTGATGAATGGGGGGGGGGGGCATGTACCTATGCCCCTGACTAAATACCAAGCAGACATACAGAAATTCATGCATCTACTTATTAAATCTTTCAATTATTTACTACCTTCAACAGTTAAATTCCTCACTGACTTGTACATGAAAGGGGAATCAACTTATGTGATTAAGCAGAATAACAAAAAGACGGATGTGACAGTAAACAGGGTCCAGTACCAACTATCGCAAGAAGTGTTGGAAGCATTTGAGGCGATCCATGATGATTGGGAACTAAACATTTGTCAAAAATATCTGTACAATCCATTGATCGGAGGTAAAGCACACTACATTTCCCTTTACCACTTCATTTGCATGCTATACTGCAAATTAAACCATGTGGTGCTTTATGGACAGGCCATTTATGCTCTTTCCAATCGACACCAACTTTTTACAATATTCAGTTAGAAGCATCACACTACCAAATAATGCCGTATACAATAATTCCAATCATTACATTTTGTTCTTATCTTTCAAGGACTTTACTCTAGAGGAAAGTCGCACTTGTTGCGCTTATCCCTTCCTATCCAGCTGTTCTGTCCATTTTACGACAGTTTTCAGGAAAGAGGCGAAGGCAACGAAGGTGATAACCATTGTACCAGAGACAACAACAAGGACGATAATTCAAAAGAAGACAGCGAAGGAGGTACGGATTCCTGCGGGGACAACGGCAACTCATCCAGCAATGAAAGCGATGGCGAAGATCCAATTGCAATAGACGAACATAACACAAATGGTGGAGATGAACCAATAGACGAGCTTATGGTGGAAAGAGAGAGAAGAGAGATTAACGCCCCATCCATCGCCATGGCTGCCTCTATTTTTAAATGTTGCCTAACGCAATTATGTAAGTCAATAATTCCTTCACAACTAATAATTTTCAGTTATTCACGAAGACCATTATATCATATTTACTGTCTAAAACAACCACGTAATAAACACACAATAAAAATACTGTCAGCAGTTGTGTACAATTTAGCAACATACTTGCCACTAACCAAATTGAAATACTTGTACAACTTTTCAAAAAACTAAAAGGAAAGGAAAGCAAAAACAGACATGAAACACAAGATATATATAAATAAGTTCCCAAACTTTCAACGACAGTGCAGTGTTGTAAAAGCAATAAAAATCAAGTATATAATGTAAGAGTAAAAGGACAAAAATACAAAGTTCCCACCACGTCTCATACGATCTTTTCTAATTGTTTGCCCAAAATATACTCTCTATGGTCAATCCGAGTCCGATACAATATGTTGTAATGCTGTTTCGAAAATTACATGCATTGTATCATTTTATCAGTTCCAATTCTGTTCAATTACGTTTCTTATACTCTCGTTTTCATACAGGTATATTGACGAACAAAGAATTGATCCCCAATTCTGAACCATGTGATGACATCACCCTCCCAAACACATTACCACATACAACCCACCAATCAGAAATGAATAAACTCATTCGCCAAGTTCTGTTAATAGCTGGAAAAACAATAAGCTTCTCTCTCCTAACGCAAAAGGGCACCTTCAGAAAAACCATACACGGACACTCAGGAAAAAACCTCGTACAACACTTGGCCATTAACATTCTGCCAAGAGTTCCAATAGGCCAGGTCCAGGCTATCACAATACCAGGGAACAAAACAAAGGTTATTATTACAACATGTATACACCCTTTTCATAAATGGCTACCGATTAAAAGTTCTTTTATGTGCATATAAATTGGCCCAACTAGCCTCGTACTCATGTTAAGATTTCAAAGGAATTTCTACCCAGAAACCAGGCTAGTTGTCCCAATTTATATGCATATAAAAAAATTTTAATCGGCAGCCATTTATGAAAACGGTTTATAGTCTACATACCTTATCCAAAAAGTGTCAGCGGCACTTAAAACAGCGTAACAGTAATTATACGCAGCTCCGCATCAATACCACTGCGGCCTATGTATTAATAATAAATTGCCTAATTGGGACATTCCTTAAAATTCACCTTCACATACTTAATAAAAATGTTGTGTTTTTAGTCTTACAATTCACATACATGTTATGGTATTGACTCTTCAACACCGTTCCAAATAATACATCTACTCGTTTTAACAAATTTAAATCATCTACTCGTTTTAACAAATTAACAGGTGTATTTCTTTGTGAAAGAGGACTCGCCAGAGGATCATAGAAGTGAGGCAAGCACTGATCTAATTCGTCACCTGGCGAAGATAGGCATTGATATCAATGAATATACCGACGCCTTCAACACCAACAACAGCGAAAGGTTAGCATAACATCCCAAAAAAATAATATGCCTTAAATATATTATTAAAAGTATATAATTTATTACTTGTTTTTATTTTTGAAGGATATATACAAGGTTAATTTTATTAATTTTGTTACGTTTCGGACATTTTAAATGTCCGTCTTCAAGCGACAACTGTTCTTAACGTTCACAACTGTTGTTAGCGTTCAACGTTAACAACAGTTGTCGCCTGAAGACAGACATTGAAAATGTCCGAAACGTTGCAAATTTAATCTAATTAACTTTGTATGTATCCTTCAAAAACTAAAACAAGTAATAAATTATGAACAACAAAGGTGAAAGTTTTGGTTATTAAAATATCTGACCGCCATTTTGTTTGTTTTGGGAAAATCATTAATTGTACTGTAGCACAATTAATGAAATAATTGTACCCCTCTCAACCAATCAGCATCCAATTTTGTCATCCTAATAATAAGTCCACTAATTTTCAATTCATTATGCATTACTCAAATTAAAATAGCTGAATTTAACCATCATTTAACAAACATGTTTTTACATTATTTCCTACAAGTACACCGTTAATCTATAAACCGACCATTGTTACAACCTAACTCGAATACTTGTTTGCCACGTGTTTGTATAGTGTATCAACCCAACAGTGCTAGTCTCCGTAGCACCTAGCCTGCATAGCAGGCGGTTTTACTGGTAGTCTTCCTCGCAGCTAGCCTGCGTGGCAGGCGGTTTTTAGGTAGGCGAACTCGCAGCCTGCTTCCGAGTTCACTCTTTGCCTTGCTGCTTATGTAGGTGGGGTGCGAGGAAAGGAGTGAACCCACGAACAGGCTGCGAGGGAGACTACAACACTATGCCTACTCCCTTTTTCTAAACATAAATTTCTACACTTGTATCATTGCAGCAAAAAACACTTGGCAGAGTACCTGGCGAAGACGGACCTTGCTCACAATTCACATTCACCTTCAAAACGGCCAAGAACAGACACATTATGAACACAACGTTGGTGAAACATTATCAGACTACTCTTCAAGACTTGAACACTTAGCTATTGTTTTCACATACATTGGCCAAAGTCAAGGCAATTTAAAATGAGATAAGCAAAACCACATTTTGAAATAGTATAGGGAGTGTATTTTACCAGTATTTTACAACCACGTACGCTTATTTTAATTTTCTCTATTACAATACTGATAACAGGGAATTTTCAGTCAAAATTTGTAATACCTTGCTGCTTGCATATGTTGAGAAAAGTATAGTTTATACTGATCAAGCATCCAGTTACACTATTTAATTAGCGTATAGCAAAACATTCAAATAAAGAACATTACTTTTTGTGTAGTCATGTACTTGTTTCTCAAACTTTAGAAGAATAAACTAAATATCTTGTGGACTTTACGTCCAGTTTGTGCCTTGTCCGTTTGAGTACACCACTTTTTTTAATTGCATGTTTACATGATTATTTGTTGAATTAATTTGTACTCAACAAAGTTTAACAAACAATTTTTAAGGCCACGATCAAACGTCGAACTTTTCATGCGCCAAACCTAATGCAAATGAAGTGAAACGAAGAATTTAGTCATTAACATTAGGTTTGGCACATGAAAAGTTCGACGTTTCACCCTGGCCTAAAGGCGGTTTTCCACTAGGCGAAATTTTTCGACCGAATCGAAATTTTCTTTTGTCTTACAAGCACTGAGATGGAACTAAACAGAAATCTTTTCTATTTGAACAATATAATAGTGGAAAACCGCCTTAAGACAACATTTCATGAATTCAATATAAACACAAAAATTTGTAACTGTGGTTATCAGGCCACGACGTTTCAAAATACACCCTTTCGATAATTATGCTTTTTGCTCTTGGAGCCTCCCTCTAATTAGTAAATGATGCAAAGGTAATTGCCTCACGATTCAGAGAGCGAGGCTCTCAGGCCAAATGACGTAATTATTGAAAGGGTGTATTTTATGGAGCCACCAAGTTATATCTATTATAAGTATTTTTCCACAAGTGAGCATAACAAATCCTACAAGTTCACTGCTCAAATTTGACGAGGATGTGAGTATCGAAGAAACAGGGGGAAAACTAAACAAAGTCGAAGAAAAATCGGTTTTTCACTAAAATCGAATCATACTTATACAAGTATGTTGCATACTTAATCGAGTTTTGGCGTTTACGCACAAAAAACTAAACAGATTTTGTTTGAAATTTGATAACGTCTTCAAAATACCTTATGTCTTGTGCGAGTACTGAGTACTACGTGTTGGGTCTTTTTTACCGTAGTTTCGATTTTCGAACGTATTTTGTGAGGGTTTTTTTTGTTGGTTTTCGTTTTTTTGTAGAAACCGCATCACGCTAGGTGAATATTCCCCGATAATCACCGAGCCCGAGCCGAATAAGTAATCAATATGTAATCATCTGGGTTTGTACGTGTGTGTATGTGTGTGTATGTGTGTGTTTGCCTGTGAGCACGATAACTCAAGAAATACCACACATATTCATACGACATTTTTTTAATGCATTTCTCATGGGCTAAGGAAGAACTGATTAAAATTTGGTTGAATTTGGTTAAAAATTGAACGAGAAATGAACAAAATTTTGTCTTGCTTTTCCCGGCCAATTAAAAAAAACTCACTGAATGCATAATTAGGACGTGTATAATGTATGCACGCAGTACTAGGGCAATAAGATGATAAACCTCATTAAGCTTCAGCCTTATCTGTTGTCTTAGTTGCATTTCACACAACCGAAATTCAATGGGGGCGGAGGTATGCAGTCTCTGAGTGCCCTCTAGTTTGTTACTGAATTTATTTTAAATTCACTTATTTCTTTATCAGTAACTTCCACAAAACGGCTAGCCACAATTTTTTGAATTTCAGTTTTGTTATATATTCACGTGAAGGTTAATATAACAGCTTAATACATCAAATTTGACCAATCAAGTTTTAGGATTTGTTATATTCACTTGTGCCAAAATACTAAGGTGTTATTATATTCACCTGCAGGTGAATATAACAAAACCGAAATTTTCAAAATGGCGGCTAGCTGTTCTGTGGTTAAAGTAAATTCATATAGCATTAAAGTAAATTCATATAGCATTTTTGTTTCTGGAAACACGATGAAAATTTATTACTGAATACTGCAAAGCTATCGATCTGTAAGACCGGATCTTCATCAATGCTAATACTATTATAAAAAGCTATTGTTACCGCGTACACATGGGGGGCTTGTATCCTACCAAACGGGAATAAACGCGGCAAAACAAGACAAAGATGGCCTATTTGCTGAAAGGCCAAATTCAAGACACCATACTCTATCAGCTTTTACAGCTTTTTCCTTGTTGTTTATTTCAATTTATAACGATTTTTGCGTGTACTCTAATATTTTTTCCCAACAAGGAAAGCTACAAACGTGTTTACAGCTTACTATGAAAATTACCGCTTTTCCTCCTGTTAGAAGCCTGCATGGCAGGCGGTCCCTAAAATAGGGCAAGCCTGGGAAATACACTGTTTCCTGCGTGCAAAATATGACGTATCGTGTTAGTTATCAAGACATTAAAAACACTATTTTATAGAGATTTGAAGGTCAATATATGGCTTATTCTGTCAAAAAAAACCCAACCATGAAAGGGAAACTATTGTTCATTATTTCGCATTAATAGTAAAGAAAGCAAGATAACGTAAAATTTACAAAGTTTTTGATTCCCATGGAAAAAGTTACTTATGTATGGACTTTCGGTTCGAATACATTCCTAAAGCAGTCTAGAAATCTAAGTACTAATGAAAGCTACATTTTATTTCTTTAATTTAACAATAGTTTCATTTTTCACTCTAGCCCATCTGGCCCAATAACTTTTTCATCGTTGTGTCTATCCAGAATGTACAGCATTAGAAATAGGAATCGCCACCGATTCATGTGCTTCGTTGTGCAACTAAATTTTGACAGCCATGAAAAAAGTTGCTCACAGGCCTCAGTATTAACGCCCTATAAATACACAACATTAACAGTGAGTATTTTCAAATGTATAATAACATATCTACTTACTACTAAAAATGACCAACACAGTTTTGGTATTGCCCTCCAGCCTATAATTACATAGTTTGCGTATCGTTTCCCATGGTCCAGTTTGAAATTTTAACAAAAAAGATTTTGATTGCCTACACGTGAAATATATAACCTTGGCCTTTCAAATTTAACCACACATACCTCCAAGTCAGAACATTCATAAGGATTACAATTCTTTTGACACCACTTATCCACATGGTTTCGAAAATGAAACTTATCACAAATAATATTCCGACTAGCAATTAATTTGGCCACTTCTGTCAATTCATTCCTCTTAGGGTTCTCAGCAAACTTCTTTAAATGGCATGCATCATCATAGCATATTGTATCTAAACTAGAAATACATGCATGCAATAACCCCTCGCCTGTTTTCAAAAGATGTATACTCAGTGCCGTTGCTAGCACTTCGTCTCAGGGGGTGTGTGAGGTTAGATAGAGGGGGGGGTGGTTACCAAAATGTTTCCAGATGTACAAAAAATTTTCAGGACATATAATAATTTTTCCGAAAATACAGTTATTTTCCAAATTCACTTTCTCATGTCCTGAGAATTACCTGAATTCCCCTGAAAATCTTCTGCAAATCTACTTAAATTTACCTGAAAGTGCACTGGAAATCTACCTGAAATTCCTCATGAATAATTATCAGGGGTGTTGCACCCCTCCCCCCCCGGCGAGTTTCAAGTAAACACTCTCTGATTTATTGTTCATGTATTTCACCTCCCAAAATATTGTGCATCATACTCTAGAGCATTTTGCTGTTGTCATGCTCTAGCGTGGTTCAAATTTATGAATTTTTATTATATAAAGTATAGTGTTTTATAGAGATTTCAAGCACTGATAAAAATGATAAACTCACATGTGAAATTATTCATGATAATCTCACATGTGAAAATTATCGCTTTTCAATGTTCAACACTCTAAATAAATCTGGTATTTCCGCGCACCCATGTATTATTCTCAGATATTGAAACTACAACTTGACTGGTTTAAATTATTATCAAGTTATCAGTGATTGTAAAAGTTGCAGATAGAAGTGTTTTGTTTTATATTATTATCAAGTTATCAGTGATCGCAAAACCTCCAAATCCTTAATTTCAAAAGCCCCGCCGGGGCTAATGCACTTATCATCGGCATCCCCGGGGGTCGACCCCCGAACCACCCAGAGGCTTTTGTTAAGAGGATGGAACAAAACATTAACAAAGCCCCTGGGTACAGGGGAAAGTTTAATGACAAAAATCATGTTACAGCCCCCTACCCTCGGGGCAAAAAAGCAAACATAACATCCCTAACAAAAACAAAATATTATATAACTGGTGAACTGGATACAAAATACAGCAGAAAGTAAACAATTTTAAAATAACCGTCCAAAAATGTCAGGTTCAAGCATGTAAAGCATGCACGCTTGAAAGAATTTTATTTGCGCATGCGCTGAATTATAAATAATTAGGGTAAGATGAAGTTTATACTATTCGAACTCAATGATTCTTAGATACGAGTAATGTCCAATACAGGCATTGATATCTGATGTCTGATGGTGAAGATGGTGTATGATGGTCGAAGTGTGTCAGATGGTGTATGATGGTGTAAGGTGGTTGTACAGGGAAGGGTTGTCAGATGGTGTATGATGGTGTATGATGGTCAAAGTGTGTCAGATGGTTGTCAGATGGTGTATGATGATGTAGGGTGATTATACAGGGAAGGGTTGTCAGATGAAGATTGTGTATGATGGTCGAAGTGTGTCAGATGGTTGTCAGATAGTTGTCAGATGGTGTGTGATGGTCGAAGGGTGTCATTCAGTGTAGGATGCTTATACTACGTTGCTATATTTTATTTATTACTTACATATACTGTGGCCAACTATGTATATAAAAATATAATATTATATCTCACATTACGGTTCTCATGTGGGAAACGTAATTCAAAGTATTTGACAGAATATATTTAAACACATTTGACAGACATGTTCGAGGTAATAAATAACAATATAATATGAATATATTATATCTCACATTACAGTTCTCATGTGGGAAACGTAATTCAAAGTATTTGGCTAAATATATTTAAATGCATTTGACAGCCATGTTCGAGGTAATAAATAAAAATATAATATGAATATACTTCACCACCTGACAACCGATGGTTATATCTATATTGGACATATATGTTAGATACCGCTGACCATATGTGAAACAAAATCCCGCGGGTTTATCCCGGGGGTTAGCAGTGCCTGTTACCAAACCCAAACAATTCCCCTTCCCCAAGGGACAGACACTATTTTTTACAAAAGACAACGAATCCCCTCCTAATAAGTTCTTTGAATGTTTGCATGGCGATAAAATATAATTGTTTTTGTTTGTGGAAACACCACGTAAATTGCTTACGGATCGAAAGCTTTGCAGTAATGAATCCCCCCTCCTGTTCCTGGGGGTTCCCCCTGGGGTGTCCCAGGGGTCGACCCCCAGGGAAGCCGATGATAAGTGCATAAGGTTCGAGTGGAAATGCCCAACCCCCAGGATGTGCTTTACAGGAAAATGGCTGGGCGAGGGGGATGGGCACACTTGGATTTGGCTGATGCATTAAAAGTCATGGAAAAAGAAAAAACTTTTCATATTGCTACCATAAAATGGCTCATTGTGCTTATTCCTGTGCTTATTCCAGACTGCTTGTCAAATATTTACTTGCAAGAAGTAGAAATTTACTCTGACCACTGGATGAAGAAGACATTAAATAAGTACTGGTCAATAAACAGAAATGTATTTTATTTCATAGTATTACAATTTTATTTTTATACTATAAAAATAAAATATAAACATGCAGCATAGAATATGGAAATTTGAGGCAAAATTATAGTTGAATCAGTTTATTTATAGGATTTTATAACAAATAGCAACTATAAAAGTTTATACCTTTGTCTTCACATCGCTTTATTCTGTTAGCCAATGCTTTTAAATTTACATATTTTAGAATCAGTTCCTTTCCTGGTAACTGCATTTCTAAATGAAATTATTGTGAGTGCTGAGCAGGCCGTTTTACTATACACAAATTTTAGGAATTGATAACTTTGAAAAATATATCGTTGCACATTCGGTCACAGTCGGAAAAATGTTCGTAGTATGTTGTACCGTCGCTTGCAACTAACGATGAACAGTCACTCATAAAAACATTCGCGTGATTAGAATCTTCAATGTTTGTCAAGAACAACAACACTTAATTGTTGTTTCCCATGTGTACAATAATAAGTAACAAAACTTTGTGTGGTCTGAACGTGTTGGGCTGGAGACCTACTGGAAACCTTTACAGGCTTTTTAATGAGAATAGAGAATGTTTTATCTGCAACTGTTCATCCTTAGTTGCAACCGACGGTATTTGACAGCATAAAATTGCCTGTGGCTGTGATAACTGATATAAATAAAATACAGTCTGGTTATACTGACTTGAGAGTGTCATGACAAACTCTTTATTGGAAAATTGTGAAGAAATAGTCGAATATAGAGGGTCGAATATCATACTTTAACTTGTATAGCTACAGTATCATTGGTACATAGCGTTGTGAAGACAAGCCTTTGCTTAACTTTCGCTTCAGCAGTCTTTTCCATGCTTCTCTACGCTTTCCCAGGCGAGCTTCTCTTTCCTCAGCAGTCTCCTCGAGCAAACGTTGTTGTCTTCGTCGCCCCCTTTTTTTCGCTAGACGCTCGGCTTTCTTGTTGTTTCTTTGCCACTCTTCATTTGGCTCCATATCTTTTCAATTGGTATTTGATACCGTAATTGTTTGATAAAAGTTTTAATAAAACTAATTGCTTTTAAAGCTGCCAAATGTTTTTGCAAATGTACAAAAAACTGTAGCGCAAAAAGCAAAATATTTTCATGAAGTATCTGTCAGTTAAAGTCGTCATTCGTCATACAACAACAAATTTTAAATTTGACCAATCGGTATTCACTATTCATGACAGTCCGCCATATTTTTGAGATCAGTGAGGATGACCAACCACGCACAGTGACCCACGCCGGCGATATTTGATGAACTTTAGACTTCCCTAATGCTGTCGTTTCCCTGGGTGTAAATAGCCGGAGGGAATTAGTACCCTCACACGGAGCTTCGCGCAGCCGGCTCGGGGATAAAAACCAACATTGTTTGGAACAACACTTTTTCAGCCTTCCTTAATTTAAACTTATTTGCTAAATTGTCCATAACAAACAGAACTATACAAGCTACTAACAAAATAAAAAATAGGTACGCTGTTGCGTACGTGCATCTACTGTAATATAAATACTTATAAAATATTAACCTCACACGCGTATAGGAAAGAGCGTATTGGAAAGAGCCTGTGTACGAGGTTAAGAAAATATTACTTGGTCCTGCATTACATCCACACCCATTTCAAGCTTGAAATAACACACAATGGAATTGGGGAGCGGCTGGAAACCTAACCCACATCCCCCCTTATCTCATATAACCACACCCATTCACAGGCATGCACCCTAACATCAGGCTATGGCTCATGGCTCGGACACACTCAAAAGAGCAATCACAATGTAGTGAATACAGTACACTGTATACCATTGAAGAAAAACCCTAAGTTCAAAGCTTCTCGAAAAGTGATATTGCCCTCCAAAAACTCCACGCTGACAAAGCGTCCTACTGGTAAAACCTGTAGATGCAAAAACACATCTAAGCATATCAATGAAACATTTCGATTCATTTGTGAAGTCATGCAACATAACTGAATAATTTCTCAAATATATTACCAATTACAAATACATACTACTATTGCCTATCTCAGAGTCATCTCTTGGACATTCGCATCCGATCTGTAACTCATACACAAACTGGAGCTGAAGGCGAGAGTTTGTATATCAGATACAGATCAGCTGCTCATGTTTTATCTAGTACATATGTATATATTACTGTTTAATTTCGACATCACAGCGCTTTTCTCCCATTAAGCTACTGTACATGTATATAAATCGGGTTTTTTATAGTTTTGTGTTGTCACATGTACCACGCTTGTTTGTCATGCATTTTAAATTGGTTTTTCCGTTAGTAGGTTATGTGATATTAAGAACACTCGTGCATGAAGCCGATCTGTAAAAGTAACCAATTCTTTCCGGTTAACCGCCTCATCATACCTACAACATGATTAAAGGAATAAACGGTTCACCAAACCACATTACAACAACATACTCTCTCAAAGATGAACCGAGAACGAACTCAATTTCATCATGAATATACTATTGTTAGTGGCCTTCTTCAGTCCCAATTCACCTAATGAACTTACTTAACACACATTATTCCACAATTAAAACTAATCATCATCCCAATTTAAACTAATCACCCAAATTTACTTCCATCACATAGTTAACATATACAGTACGTTCTATATTAAAAGTTAAATAATTGTATATTTGCATAAAACATACACAAAACTTACCAACGTTTGAAATCTTGCCACTAGAGAAAAGACTATGCAAATGCCCATACACCTGACTTTTACTCTCCGACCCGAACAGTTCACGTACGCCAATTACTATGCCACACGGTTTTTCAAAGACTAAAATTCCTGCAAATACAAATGGTTAAATAATGTGTAACAAGGTATATCATTACCATTGCAGTGACATTTCACCAGTTTTTCCATTCAACATGCTTTATAGCTATCATACATGGTTGAGAAAACGGCAATCAAATTATATTCTCAATAAATGTTCTTTCTCAATACAAACACTTTATATACTATAAAACATTTATTCACAGTAATAGATATAATTATAACAAATAACACCAAGGTGCTAAACCTGCAGTTCTCCTGTTTTTGCACTTATGCTTTCCTTTCTCAGTCCCACAATTCAGAATTCTAACACCTTTCTCACCCACTACTTGATCATCAGCAGGGTCAGCTACAGCAAATCCTGAACTAGAAAAAAATATATACCGTATTTAGTTGTTTGAACACCGCGGCGCTCTTTAAATATTTGCTGTTTTGTATGCGGTGCTTATTCAACGACAGCGCTCTGCAACGGGAATGACGCATTGCCCATGCTCTGCAGAATTTTTAATGGGAAACATTGAAACATACTCACTTTAACATAAAACACTAAAATATAGAAGACTCAGGGGGCGGATCTCAAACGAGTAAATGCGGTAATTAGTAAACATTCTAAAGCATTAGTACATTATAGGTTGACCCCCCATCAGATTCACTGCAAAATGCCGTAGTGAATTGAAACCCCAGAATAGTCTGTCTGTACACATTACAACCTAGTGTACTGATAACCAACACAGTTGAATCATTGATACTACTGTAAGATTGCAGGGAAACATGAGGGTTTTCAGTACAGGGGTATTAGTATTTTACCCTATTCTGTGTTCAGTATTGCCACAACTGGACTATTACAAGTGGCAAAATGTATTAACGACTTTCAACACTGTAAATTGCTGTAGTTAATAATATATTTTATTCACAACATTACTGTGTATGCAAGGCCGTCGGAAGTAAATTAATATTGGGGAGGGGTCAGGAATAAATCTGGATTGCTTTCGCATTTTTTCTAGTTCTTTTGTGTGTTTTGCCTATACAATGGAAATTATTGGGGCTCAAGCTGATGGCCTTGATGTGGTCCTGAATACTTCTATGCAGACTAGAATACTTCCTATTCCCCTTCATAATTACCTTCTCAGCACATGTGACCCAGCATCACCATTATTTGCAGTCAAGCATTCCTCCAACACACTTAACCTTTGCCCAAATTCTCTTTTATCTTTGGTGACATGACTGTACACACCACCAGTAGTGATAACATCCAGCACTTTCTTAGGTAAATTCGCCTTCTTTACCCAAGTCTTCAACAAATTTGACCATAGCACCTATGCAAAAACAATAATACTCTTTTATACACAATATGTATTGTACATTAACCTTTACACCTAAATTTATAAAATACTACACATTCACACAATTACTCTTGGAACTTATGTTTCATTCAAATGTGTTGGCTGTTGCTTCTTGCAATGTTCTCTTTTTCTATGATAGTATTCAAAACCACAATAAGATATGGGCTTCCTACAATTAAAAAGCACCAGTATACACAGAGAAGCTTACAAATTTTTATCATAACTTCATATACTCAATGCATGGGTAATGGGTTTATTTCATATGCCATTTTTCCACTTTTATAATAATCTGTTCATTGCTGGTGAGTATTGCTATACATCCTGTTTATGAACAGAGAAAGAAAGAAACAGAACCAAATACAAAACATCCTCACCAAGATAATTATGACCTTCTGTCTTCTCACTTCCAACAAATCACTGCATGCACGCTACACTTAACTCATTAATCTCACCTTCACAACCAAAATCATCTGGCATTGGACAGAGAAATTAAGGAATAAAGTGGGGCCATATTTCGGAGCATTGCCAGTCAATGGGTTAATAACATAAATTGACATATAGATTTGTTAACAAATTAGAGACCTTTCATTTGACATTTACGGCTAACGTGAAACCGCTACCAAAGTGTCTGATATTACAACTCTATTATAACAGCTTTTACACCAGTTTTGAAATATATTAAACAATTATTAAACTTGTGCTCTTTAGCAATGATCTAAGAAAGCAAATTAACCACTAGTCACGTATATACCAAAGCAGGAAATTAAGATCTGGCATTTGAAGTTGATGCTCGGCATATAAATTCTACGCTCGAACTGCTGCGCAGGGCTGCATAATATAGCGGACTGCGGGACCATTGGTCCCAGAAAATTTTTGAGGTTGGCAGAAAAAAATGGAGGGTAAAACTTAAAAGTCTCAAAAGAAAAAAAAATGTAAAGAGAAAGAAAGGAAAAACAGAAAATGACATAATTGAATAATAAGCTGTAGGTAGTGAACTAGTGATGTTTGCAACATGCAAGTAACGCAAGTTTCCAATATACCGGTACAGGCAGCACTCCAGCAGCCTGATATTATGGTCAAAGACAGGCAGACAGCAGTCTAGCAGATATTAAGACGAATCCTCTATGCGGTTGTTATAATTGATTTCATCTAGTGTATTAGCTACTTCTGAAAATACCACTCCAGTTATATATGAATACAACTCATTTAACAACTACAGTATGTGGATTAAATAGTCTACGAGTGTGGTGATTTCTTACAATGTAGTAAAAAATCTAAGCAATATGTTCCAATACACAACAGCCTTCTGTCCTTCTCATGAACTTTCATCCACTAATTAACATGATATTCATAACAAATACCGGGTGTCCCAAAAAAAAGTACTCCGGTTTGATTCGAAATAACTTCTAAACAAGTAAAGCTTTTAAAGAGAAATAACTTGCATCAAATAGAGGAAGGACTAACTTAGATTTTGATATATTACAGTTGTATTTCACTTAAAAATTCACGGAGATATTAATGTTTAAAATCGGGAGCATATTTCTTGATGTGTCTGAAATATGCCAAAAACAGCTTATCAAATATTAATCAAGATTTACCCGACTGAAACATGCACTATTACCTGTAAATAAATGACACTTGACAAATTGTTTATTATGAAACAAAGTATTATTATCTACAAAATACAAGCAAGATTTATTCGTCCGAAATTCGCGTGTGTTCCTAGCACGAATACGTTTCCTTATTTCATGAGACCACTGCATCGCGAAGGATCGTCATGGATCGTTCGCAGTTCTGAATTAGGGCACGCTGTCACATTGGAATTGTGAATTTTCTAACTTCACATTGAATGAATTTTCTAACTTCTGCAACGTTCTGAAATCTTGTTAAGAACACCCAAACTCTTTTGCCTTTCTTAATCTTGGCAAGTTCAGAATAAACTGAGAATGAAACACAATCAAACCATACAACTCCATAAGTAAAGACATAACAAGCATGCAACTCCCCAGAGACATCCAACACTTTTGGAACAAAACGTAACAAAATAGTAGCTTTGATACTGTGATGTGTATTTGCAAAAAGCAATATTATTTCCTCCATTAAAGAACAATATTAATCCTACTCTAACCGAGAAATAATCAACTTTGTTTTGAACCCATGAAAAACATAAAAAAATAGGTTATTTAAGAAAAATTGAAGCGCCTGCCTTGCATGGTCTTTCAGTACCTTAAGTTTGCAAAGACCTATTAAATACTTACATAATTTCGAACGTTCATATTTCAGGAAACAATAAGTTAAGACTTATATGCAAGATGTCTAAATCTACGCCATATCCCTTACAAATCCTAACGACAATTCACTGAAATACAATTTACCCTGATATGTCATTAAGCAAACAAACGCTGGAGTTAAAATTTGATACGCCGATTTTCGCTAATTTTAGACACATCCCAAAATATGCTCCCGATTTTGAACATTAATATCTCCGTGAATTTTTAAGTAAAATACAACTGTAAAATATCAAAATCTAAGTTAGTCCTTCCTCTATTTAATGCAAGTTATTTCTGTTTGATAGCTTTACTTGTTTAGAAGTTATTATAAATCAAACCGGAGTACTTTTTTTTGGGACACCCGGTATATTAAAATTATAAGAATCTAGAATCTTAATTTAAACTGCAGTCAGTTCCCAGTGGTCACTTTCATTATCCATTAAAATGTAAATGTTTGTTGTTAAATTAAAATATGAAGAATATGTATTCTGTAGCCAGAATAAAATACGTCTACCCTACTGGCAGTGGTTGCGAAATAATGAAATGGTGCGTAGAATACACTGAATTTTGTTTAGTGATCAAATTTAAACATAAGATTCCCAGTGTTCCCAGCGTGCAAAAAATTCCCAGCTTGCAGAAAATATTTTCGTTGGCTTTGTGGTCCCAGAAAATAAAATATTTTATGCAGCCCTGCTGCTGCGAGGGTTTGTAGTCATTAAAGCATGAAATTTATACGCCAAATGTAAACCTCAAACGCTAAATCTTAATTTACTGCTTTGGTGAATACATGACTAGTGGAGTTAATTTGTTTTCTTCAATCATTGTTAAATACCACAACTTTAATAATTGTTTAATATATTTTAAAACTGGTGTAAAAGCTATCATAATAGTTGTACAATCAAAAACTTCGTTAGCAGTTTGACGTTTAATTTGACATAATTAATTAGCAGAACTCTCCCCTTCATGACTAAAATCGCTTGGCGTTACACATAGTAAAAATAAAAGAAGAAAGTACATATAGCCTCTTACCTCATAAAACTTCCCTTGACGTGTCTCTCTTTCATTCAAAACCTTGATAGGCAACACATCAGTGTCGTCACTCTCAAGTACACCGGAAGTAGGCTTCTGTTCTATTGAATCTGTCATGGATGACCAGTCATCCTTCAATGCACATGCGGCATCTTTATGCACATCACAGAAACGGCTCTTTTTTCCAGGAGTGTTTTGACAACCTTTCCATGTAAGGAAAAAATGTTAAAGTCAAAAAAATTAACTCATACAAACTGTACATATGCAACCATCACCTGCTTTGTTAATACTTTGATGCCAGCCTAGAGTTTACACACTTTATGCAAACTTACATTAGTAAGACCCAGACTCTCTCTAATATGTGTAGTGACTAATACCAATTCACATTTCAAGAACAAAAATATTCTAAAAAGCACAAATGCTTCTGTGACTCACTAAGCAAATCACAAAACTTAAACTCCCATGCCCCAATCACTGCATCTAAGCTTTACAGTGTTAAGTTATGCAGAGGAAAATATAGTGATACTGTATGACACATCTTATGGTACTGTCAAACCAATGCAAGACAAAGTGCTGCACTAAACAAAAAACATTCACACACTTTGACTCACCAACAAGAATGCTTCCCGACATCCCATCAAAATGAAGCTCTCCAACATCCAAACATGAGCAAACTTGTCTGGCATTTTTCATGTTCCCATCAATTACAACAACACTTTTGCAGCCAGGAACATCACAAATATGATCTATTAACATTAATTTCATGTATACATGTAAGTAGATCAATAATAAGTAGGAATACAGATGTAGTTAGACTAAGTTAGTATTTTAGGTTATCAATTTTCCTAATTCATATATATATATCTGTAACACCAGAAAAGTGTTCCTATTTTTATTAGTGGGTTAATGTTAACATCGTTATTCTTTGGATATTTAGGACGTTTTTTTGGCATATAGCCATTACTGTCCCCCTGGTGAAAAAATCTTGTATACACCCTTGTTTCACACTACAGCACAATATTTCAACTAACAATATGGGAAAGGTTATGTTTAAATTTTTAACAATTTCTCACAATTGGTTTTCACTTTTCTACTCACTGCCAATGCAAGATCCTTATATTAAATAATAGTAAAGTTTTCAATATTTGTACTACAATGTTTACCTGTCCACTTTTTATAAAACACACTTTCACACTGTTCAACAACAATCTTAGCCAACTCAGTCTTGTCATAAGGGATGCTTTCCAATGCCAAAGAATACTCATCATTCACTTCTAAAGCTGCAAACAGGATAAATCCCTCCTCCAATCGTCTTCTACCCATGAACTGTCGCACTTGCAATAATAGCCTCTGCTCTGATACCAAATCCCTGTCAACAAAACACAGATAGTTTGAAAAATATTTTAGTTTATTGTCAGCAAACAAATACCTATTGTGCAATAATTATACAGAATAAATTTGCTATCATAATTGTCGAAAATAACATAAGAAGATATAAGAAGATTTTCCCCCCAAAAATTAATCTTCTTATATTAAGGCCCTGTTTACATTAGACCGGGACGAAGTCAAACCGGAATGAAAATTGAAATTGTCAACATCTTTACATGAGACCGGTGTCCCAGGATTTCCGCCCCCCTTTAGGAAATTCACCCTCCTTTAGAAACTTCACCTTTTCTTTTGGATTTTCGTCCTCCTTTCAAAATTTCACCCTTCCTAACAGTTGCATGGGATAATTATTACATGGCTTTAATCATTTGAAATCAGTATATCAATTCAAAATTGTTAATTAAGACAGAGCTTGAAATAACAACCGATCAGCGGAAAAGCAGCGTTTGGTTTCCAACCTGAAAAAAGTAGGGAAAGTCATCACTGCCAATCAGCATGATCAGGAACTTTGGGAACGTTATTTCAAGCCCTGTAAGAATACAAATTTACAAGTACATGTAGCGAAAGGGCTTACACAGTTACAGTAGATCAATAGGACTTATGAGACTTCACAGCACACCATGCATGCATATTTTGCATTTTCAGTGTTAATCCTTAAACTCATTGTTAAAAAATCACCGTGGTGGTTATTGTAATTATTGGTATTGTTTTGCATCCACGTTTTGTCGTTATCGGAAAATCTATGGCTTATAAGTTGTCACTATTTTTTACTTGCATTATTTCAATATAGTTTGTCAATCTCAGATGCGAAGGGTAGAACTTGCCAATAGGCAATACTCCAATAATATACGTTTCAAAAAAGACAAAAAAGCTTTTAGTTTTGCAGAGTTTATACATTCTCAAATCTTTAAGGCACTAATAAAATCAAAGTATCATGAAATTATTTGAATAAACCACACCACATATATATCATGCAATTTTCTTTGCGGAAGTCAAGAATCAAGATTACATCACTGACATTGACATGGAAAGTTGATGATTCAATGGACCATACGCTTCCCAAAACATTCCATAGATTTTTTATTAATCCTATAGTTTATTGTTAGCAAGTTACTGTATTGTAAGCAATAGTTACTGCTATTGATAAAATTTGCAAGCGATTGTTTTTCAATATGTTATGTGAATGTAAACTGCCAGAAGAATACAACATGATTTTATGCGATCTCTGTGGGCAATGGTTCCACTTTAGATGTGTAGAATATGATACTAGTCTAGGTACCTCAAGTGAGTGGTTATGCCGACTGTGCACACCACCAGCTGCTAAGAAGCCTAAAATGTGTATGTAATTTTGTCTCCTTATAATAAATAAATCAATCACACAATAAATCTTTTGAACTTGCAATCGTTTTGTTTTTAGATAAAAAATTCAAAATTTACATGGGGGACGAAATTCCTAAGGGGGGGGGGCGATATTCCTAGGAGATTCGCCCCCCTGGGGGCGATATTCCTATGAGATTCGCCCCGGGGGAGGCGAATATCCTAGGAATATGGCCCCCCTTTTGAGAGGGGGGGGGGGCAATCTCCTGTGACACCGGTATGAAAATCACAAAATTTTCAATCTATTTTCCTCGCCAGGCAATTTTCTTTTTCAGATGATTTTTGTTAGCATGTGTTGTTCCAATGTCAAGGTTACAGCCGAGACTGGTCTGAAATGTATGTATTGGAGAACCTGTTTCTGAGGGGATCACCTGCCTTCGACGTGTCACACATATCCTTTAATTTGCGGTACCCAAACCTACGGTTGTACAAGCTAGCAAAAGACGAAAATGGCAACGCGCCGACTATGAGTAAACTCGCACATTCTTTCAGCAAAGGTATGTGAAATGCCGTTTCCTCAGACGTCAACAAAAATTTGTTGTCCAAGCAATCCTTGTCAAAATAGTGTTTACCCCCCTCCGTCTAACCACCATAATGCTCGTACACTTTGCATTTGCGGCATGATTTCTTCACTCGTGAACCAAGGTAACTGCCAAAATATATATGGTAAAAGACCACGACATTTCCATTTCCTTCGACCAGTAACTTGCCACCACAACGGTGACATGCAGTCCTCTTTGAAATCAATATAGTCCCAATAGCAGAACCACAGCTCAACGTGAACTCATGAAACTGATGGAATGTTTTCTTGAACCCCTCAACAAGTGATTGCTCACGATCCAAGTAAAGAAGACCTCTTGTTTCACAGTAAAATTTTCCCTCTTCCACTGCCTTATCGTCGACCTGTTCGATTTCGCCATTATTTATATCTCCATGGACAATATATCGCCTCATCACACCACAAAAATGCGGAACAAGTAAGAAATATTCGCCAAGTGCTTGCAACACAAATACTAATCGTCCAAGGAAAATTTGATTATTTAAGTAACCCTCCATTACAACTTTTTAAAACCATTTTAATTCAAGCCATCACTGCAGATTTCACGCCCGGAGCAGTGCCTGTGCGCGGGCTAGGAACACGCTGACCGAAATAACACTGATTGCGAATATAAAGATCGTATATTTATCATATTCAACCATTAAAATATCAAGTATAGTGAGGTTTATATCGAGGTTCATATTAAGTACACAATTCTTGCCGTGCATCGCTAGCTTTGTATTTCTGTATTTGTCGAGCCATAATTTAAATTAATGTGATCGTGACATGTGGAGTACAAAACAATGCAGCTACACAGGTGAAAGAGCTAGAAGATTTCAAGATTTGTATTAAATTTCCTTTTGCATATAATTTTCAATTTTGCTATGAAACCCATGGTGCCAATTTTTAAAATACAAGGCCAAAATTGTGCCAAATGAAAGGTACTTGAAATTATAAAACCCTGATTTGTATACACAAAAGTATAATTTCAAAGTACCTTTCAAATAACTATAGAATTTCTATTTTAGTTATTGAAATGCTTATGTGGCTAACAAAATATTTAAAGACCACATTTTCTTACATATCATATATATGCACCTACCATCGACCATCCCTGGGGGTACAACCCCCGGTGTCCTGCATGCTTTGTCCTCTCTAGGTAGCCATGGGCTACTCTTTGTATAAACATTCCCCACCCCCAGTGGGCAGAAGCAAAACACAAGGCTTTATTACTAGACCAGTTCATCACTTCCAAGAAGCATGTTTACTCCAGGTAATGGGGAAATTATTTTAGTTCTATTTCAGATGGAAAATATTAAAACATATATACCCAAGACCATGTACACCTAAAAATAGTGGCCTAATAAAAGCAATTGTTTTACTATGGAATTAATTAGAAAATTGTTTATTATTCACATGCAAGGTACTGTAAGCCAGTAGCATATATAACACTTCAAGGTTCTACGTTTCACCTATGAATATTAAGGCCTGGGATTATATTTGTTCATATATATGTAAGCATGGGAGGGCTTATTATATATGGGGGGCTTATATATGGACAAAATTTCATGTTAGTAATAATATTTATCGTACCGAACATTTTGTACATTCACAAAAAGAAATATAAACATACATAATTATACAGTATATATTCTATACATAAAACAAGTTGGTGTGATTATTGTCACTCATTTGAGCTGTTGAAATCCCTGTCACTACATTAATAATATACTGTTGTATCCAAATGCTGATTGGTCAGCTGAAGTGATTGACATATAAGATTAGGTCACGAGACATTAGATTAGGAGACGCTAAGCCAGAGAGCAAGTATAGATGTATAATATAGCAGAGTAA